GGGTTTAGCCCCAAGCCCATTAAAAGGGACAAGCGTGGTTTGATGAAAGGAGAGGAGGGTGCAGCAGCAGAGAAACGCCAATCCGTGTTCATTCATGCTGGAGTATGTTCAAGTCATCCGTTTTTGACTTTTGAATTGCAGTCTTTTGGTGAACGAACGGATCGTGAAAGCTGAAGGATTTGTGGACAGTGGTGCATCGATCAACACTGTGACTCCGGAATTTGTTGAGCGTCTGGGTTTGATGGATACTGTTCATGAGCGGCAAACCATGATATCGTTGACAATGGCAAACTCGACAAGTGTTGTGTTACCGAAACAAATAGTGGAGTTAACGGTTCACGTGGAAGGAATGGAGCCATACGATGCTGAGGTTCGCTTACTACCAGTACCAGACCGAAGGGACATCCTACTTGGAATGCCATAGCTTCAAAAAGTGAACCCTCGCATTGACTGGCGTACCGGGAGCATTCGACCGGCGATGACTGTCTTGCTGACTCGACTAGCAAAACTAATGGCCAGACACATGCGGAATCGTACCAAGCCGTCTGTGGCTAAAAGTGCTGAAAGGCAGTCGGTTTACTTTATAGAAACTGGGGGAAACAAAGATTATTTCGCTGAAACAATTGCCTCGACTGCTGAAGAAACCTCGTGAAGTGGAATATGTCTTTGTCATTCAGCCAACGAGTGGTAATCCGGTTAAAAGAGCGAAAAACATCGACGACTACGTGGATCATCCCGTGTACCCGTATTTGCAGAAGTATCAGGGTTTGTTTCGTCAAAAACTGCCTGCTGAACTACCTACTGCATCACACGGACAGCATGAGATGGATGTGAAAAGCAACGAAGCAGTATTTCGTCGGCAGTGGAAGCAGTCGCCGGAACAAGAAGCGGAGCTTATGCGGTGGGTACGGAAGATGGAGGAAGCTGGTCTCATTCGACCGTCTACTTCGCCTCATGGTGCGCCTACCTTTTGCGTCCGGAAGGTGGATGGCTGGCGGATTGTGCATGACTTTCGTGCTATGAACTTGAACACTGTCCGCCGTACATGCCGATGCCAAGGAAAGACATAATTCTGGAGCAAATGCAAGGCTCATACTACTTTTCTTGTCTTAACCTGCTAAGTGGATACTATCAATTTCGGATGAGAGAGTGTGATATACCTTATACTGCGTACCAAGCACCGAATGGATTGTACGAATATTTGGTGGTTCCAATAGGACTATCAAACGTCCCTGCTACATTAAGCGCTGGAATTCGACGTGTTTGGAGGACATGATGGATATCTGTCAGAGCTATTTCGACGACATCTATGTATTTAATCGAAGTACCAGTTTGAATGAGCACTCGGCAGCTCTGGATCGTGTTTTCGCTAGACTTCATGAACACAAGTTCTACGTATAATTGAGCAAGTGTGTCTTCTGCGCATCTTCGATTCCGTGTCTGGGGGGCATTGTCGGACGTGAAGGCGTTTAGATCAACCCCGAGAAAGTCCGAGTCATTCGCGAGTGGCCAAGTCCTGCGACCAAGCATGACTTACAGTCATTTCTGGGTACGGCCGCGTACGTCCAGCGTTTTTGTCGTGGGTTTGCAGAAGATGCTGGACCGCTGTTTAGCTTGCTGAAGATCAAAAACAAGCAAGTTGAATGGACGGACAGCCTGACGGAGCATTTCAACCGACTCAAGAAGAAAGTTGGACAGACACCGGTTAATGCAATTGCTGATTTCAAATAGGGTTTCTTTTTTAGGATGGATGCATCGGATTTCGCTATGTGTACCCGCCACAGCAGTTGCTTATATGCTTTCTGCGGGACTACCTAGGTTTTAGACATATTGCTGGCGAAGCGATGATCACTATCTCACAAAATGATGAGCGTACTGACCCCTCAATGTTAGGAGTAGTAACGCAATTTCTTCATCAGCTGTTTGCTGATAGACAACTGTTTCGAAATGAAATCGCCAATATCGTGAGTGCTGTGAACTACAATACTAATCATTGGTGTGCATACAGCTATCGACATTAAGAAAATAAGAATATTTGTTGTTACCCTCAGCAACAGCGTCAATGATACGCATTCCTCGACAAGCTGTGCAAAGAAAACTACAGGATCTTACTTCGGGGTAAGTGCGCTGACATGCAAGAACAACATTGTAAAGAAGAATAGCAGTTCGATGTGCATAACTGTGAAGTATTTGTTGTGAAAATCGTACGATGCTTCGGGACTGGTCTAGCAATTTCATTAATGATCGCCTACGAGCAAGACTTTTGTCGGTACATATACGTGAGGAAGGCCTTTAAGGAGGTAAATACCATCACATCAGCAGTTCGTAAACTTGATTATGAGAATGTTTTGAAGTGAAATCAGAATAAAATATCCATTTTAGCGAGATAACCTTCAATTTGTTGGTCCCCAAGGCATACACCTGTTTGTGGTCCGCTCTCGATTATCGTATGCTTTATTAAAATCAAGTGCGTACACAAGTAAACCGTGAAAATCTTTAGATTGTAAATACAGATTAGCTGAGGAAAACTTCCAGAAGCATTATCATTTAGAACCTGGTCCTACGCGGTAGACAGTCCTGATGCTTTACGAAAACCAACCTCCCCTAAGACGATTGAATTCACATACTAGCATAACAAGCTTTTATCTAATACTGAGCCTTATATTTCTTTCTCACTATACGAGCAGTCTGAAAGTGTACCGCAGCGGCCTGTGCTAGAAGGGTGTATACCGTTTGTCAACTCGATCAATAGACTTAGCCAAAGCGATCAACTTCTTGTAACTAAATCGTCCGCTACGTTTGTATTCAAACTCAGATAATGTTGTGGAACTTGCAAAGGCTTCACAACGCTGAGTACGAGGAGCACCTAAATATGATAATAGCTGACTTTAGCAGCTACAACTGCGGTATTTTTAAACTGTATTGAGACACCTGAGTACAGGTTATGTGAAGCTAGTAGCTGAAGCGCTATCCTTTGCTTATATTAGTGATCTCAAGGTGATGTCAGCATAGCTTATGAAGTATGTGCTACAGGTCCTGCCACGGATCGCTTCAGGCCGCTTGAAGCGACGTCGATCTGAACGAAGTTCGGATCCGACTTGAGGCGGCGGCGGCGTCGTTGACGACGGCGACCGTGACGTGGAGCTTTGCTGCCCACGTCTAGGGATGTCGGCGCTACGACATCCGAGGCACTCGTGGCCTCGTGTGGTACTGTGCTACCCACACAGGAAGCGTGTTCGACGCCTTCCTCTTCAGTTAAGGTCTGGGCGACCGTGTGCGGAGCTCTGTTAGCCACGCTGAACACGCTGTTCTCGGTGTTCATGACAGCTGCAGCTGTCTGCGGAACTAAGTTACCCGCCTGTGGACCTAAGTTACCCACTTGGTCAGCGCCTCTTCTGGGCGCTGCCACCATCAAAGCATCCTCGCAGTCGTCATATTCGTCGACGACTCCCAAGCATCTGCCGAATGCTTTGGTACCCTGGCAGCCCTTGCGGGCGCCACGGGTCCTGACAGAGATTGGAACATGACTCACCAACGCTCTGTTGGACAGCGCAGGGCGGCTGGCCCCGATTGCCTTCTCTCGCCAGTCAATCCAGGGCTCGTGGTTCTCAAGCCAGGGCATGCCCAGGATCATATCATATGGATCCATATCGAGAAGAGTGAACTGTTCGAGGTTTCAAAGTCTTCAAACTTGACGGCCAGATCCACTTGGACGTTGAAGACAGTGACGACCTTCCCGTGTGTACACCCAACTCTTAGCACGGCCGCTAAGGTTGGAGAGTGCAAAAGCAACACGAAGTTGCTCGGTCGAGATCAGAGTTGCGTCCATCGCGAGCTCAAACTTCTCGGACCCAGAAGTGAAGGTTCTTACCTTCCTTCCCTTCATACGGCTTAACCTTCAGCCGTATTGGCTTCGGGTGAGGCGGATTTGCTTCCGCCGCCGGAGCCTGCAGGCTCTCCCGCACATGCGCAATGAGGCCCTGCTCGTACGCGTCGAGCGCATTGACGCGCTCGAGCTGCTCGGCCGGTGTTGACACCACCAGGCTCTGCAGGGCCTCCATCCCGAAGATGCCTGCCATCTTCCGAACCGACTCGAACTGAGAGTCGTTCATATGGGAGAAGTCGTTCCTATCCATGGCAACGAACTTCGGAGAGGTTCAGGTAGTCTACCCGCGGTGGCGTGGATTGACTACGAGTGCTACCAAGTGTGACGGGGTCACACAGCACCTTGCGCTAGAGGAAGTTATCTTCCGAGAGTATACAAACTCTCAGTGAACGGCAGTTCACAGGTCCCCTCTTTAGTTAAAAGAGAGCGAAGTGACCTAATTAAGGTAGAATGTAAAATGAGTATATTTATAGGTAGATAAAGCTTTGGGTTTAATACAAACTATAAGTCACCTATAGAAATGCAATGTCATCAACCAATGGTTGGCTTTGGACGACCTTATTACTTTGTACCAAATATCCCGAAGTATGACGTGTCACACGGCATGTAACCAGGGTACACTTAGGGCTACGTACCCCGTTACAGTGCCTCCAGGTACTGCCACCATAGCAGAATTTGCTGCACTCCCCAGTGGCAAACGGTGGATAGAATTCCTCTCGTCCCTCGACTCATTCACTTCCGTCTTTCTCTGCAGACATGATCTCTTAATTGCAAGTGCGTTTCACTAGCGGCCTTGGGCTCATAACCAGAAGAGGAGTGGTTCACTAGCTGCTGGTCAGAACCAGGAAGAGAAAAGGAAGACGTAAAAAAAATGAGTCAACACCGGCTTGGCGGCAAAAACCACCTTTTTGTGTTTCTTGTTTTAATTTATAAAGTTTTGTTGAGGTTGTCTCGTAACTGTTATCGTGGAGATCAATACACAAAACTTTATAATTTTACAAAAAATAATACCTATAAGTATAAGTTCCGCGCATCGGCATTGTTTGCTACATATGTATACCGGTAATAAAACGCCAAGCGGGCAGCCGCACAGTCCACAATTCAAAATCCCGTCATGACGTCGCCTGAGTCCTCCTCGCCCACGTCCTCCAAGCGTACCATCTTCGTGTCCTCGCGTAAGAGCCAATTGGCCATGGCGCAGACGAATACTGTCATTGCTATGCTGGAGGAGCGCTTCCCGGACCTTCAATTCGTGGTAGGGCAGGAGGACACTGTGGGCGACCAAGTGCTGGACCGCCACCTGAGCGACCTTGGCACCACCACAGCGTCGGGTCTCTTCACTAAGAGCTTGGAGGAGGCACTGCTCGCCAAAGCTGCCAGCTTCGCTGTCCACTCGCTCAAGGACATGCCCACGACGCTACCGGATGGACTCGTGCTGGCGGCTATCACCAAGCGCGAGAGCCCTGAGGACGCTGCAGTGATCCACCCTAAGCACAAGGAAAAGGGAATCAAGACGCTTCAGGAGCTGCCCGAGGGAAGCGTCATTGGAACCAGCTCGTTGCGGCGCGAAGCTCTGCTGCGAAGTCAGTTCCCGACTTTCGAAATCAAGACCGTGCGCGGGAATATTCAGACCAGGTTGGCCAAGTTGGATGAGCACGACGACTACGACGCTATTATCGTCGCGGCGTGCGGATTCCGACGTGGAGAACTAGGAGACAGAATTGACGAGATCCTGCCCATGGACACGTTCGGGTATGGTGTGGGTCAAGGAAGCATCGGCGTCGAGTGCCGTGCCGACGACGAAGAGGTGGGGACATGAGAAAGAGATGTAGATAATTGTGTGAAGACTGACCGTTGTTGTTTTTGTGACTTGCAGACGATTGAGATGCTCAAGACTATTACCGATGAGAAGTCAGCGCAGTTGTGTAAGGCGGAGCGCAGTTTGCTGTATCATCTCGAAGGTGGATGCCAGGTCAGTCTTTGTGTACAATTTCGGACGGATCGTAGGTGGGTTTCTAACGTTGTTAATATTGCGTCGGCTTCTCCGTTGTTTAGATCGCTATGGGCGTTAGTGCTACATTGGATGAAGACACACTGACCCTGAACGCGACGGTGTTGTCTCGGGACGGCAAGGAGAGCGTTCACGGTACGATCATTTGGGTGCTTTGTCGCCTTTTGTGAGTGGTATTTACTTACGTCCACTTCACTACAATTATCGCAGAAACGATCTCAGGCCCGCGTACTCAATGCGAAGAGCTGGGAAAGCAGCTGGCAGAGCGCTTCTGGAACAACGAACTGGCCCGGAAGGTGCTGGGCAAGACCCGTCAGAAGCGTGCACTGACGTACGGAGACGCCGAAGCTCCCGGTGACGCAGCTGCTGCTGCGGCATCTGGATCGCCCACCAAGAAGGCTAAAACCTCCGAGTAGGTACCTTACATGTCGAAACCCTCGGCCACCACTAAACGCAAGCATAGAGACCAGTTTGTCCACGTTTAGTGATTCACGTTCAAAATTGGTGATACCATTTGACTCAAATTTTGAGACCATTGCAGTATAGTCCAGTCAAAGTGGTCCACACGTTTTTGCTGTTAAATACGAAATGCTAGTTTCCAGTCATTTCGTAGCTGCTCGCCATCAACTCTTAGTGCTTCATCTGCTCTGTGTATTGCTGCTTCCCACGACGCGAACCCACCTCATCTCTCAGCAAGCAGCTCTCATCATAAAGTGCGGACTCTCTTCTACCTAATACTGCTAATTGCGTACTCCAACGCCGTCTACAAGCCTCAAAAGCTGCAACTGAAGACATGTCCGCTGATCAATTGACCCGAGCTCAGAACAGTCGCGTGCTCCAGGCCTTCCGCGCTATCGGTGTTGTTGCCGACGATGTGCCAATTTTGTGGTACGGTATGGGCAAGGCCAGCTTCGCAACAGCGTCACTTGGCAAGTCTTTCGTCGTGTACAACTGCGATAAGCTCACACCCGTGCTGGTGTCGCCACAGTTACCCAAGCGCATCGCAGCGCTGGCCGTGCAACCCAAAAAGCACTTGACTTTTACAGCTTGTGGACGTCAAATCATCGTGTGGAAGCGCGTGCAACGCGTCAAGACGCTGCTAGGCCACAAGGGAACCATCAAGCAGATGATGACCGTAGGTAACGTCCTCTTCGCCCTCGACGACGAGCAAGAAATCAAAATCTGGGACCTCGATACCATGGAACTTGTAGACACGCTAAACTTCCCTACAGGCTTCACACCGACCGTGATGCTGCACCCGGACACGTATCTGAACAAGATTCTGGTGGGGTCGGAGCAAGGAGCACTGCAGTTGTGGAATATCCGCAAGATAAAGTGCATTTACGAGTTCAAAGGATGGGGGAGCGCTGTCAACGCAATGGAACAGAGTCCCGCAGTGGACGTCGTGAGTATCGGACTGGCCGATGGAAGACTCATGGTGCACCACTTGCAGCTAGACCAACAGGTGCTGGACTTTAAGCAGGACCAAAAGAGCGGGATCACAGCCATGTCGTTCCGTACGGATGCAGGCGCTTCGACGACTCCCTTGGTGGTGTCGGGGTCGCGATCCGGTGACATTGCAGTGTGGAACCTGCAGACTAAACGTCTCGAGTCGGTGATCCCAGGTGCACACGATGGTGCGGTAGTCTCGCTGCAGTTCTTGGCGAACGAGCCGTTGTTGCTGTCTTCGGGTACAGATAACTCCATCAAGATGTGGATTTTCGACCACCTGAACGGCGGCACGGCTCGCCTGCTCAAGTCTCGTGAGGGTCACCGAGCCCCGCCGACGCGTATTCGTTACTATGGCAATAATACTCTCGCTACGATGGCGGACGGTGCGGACGGCACGTGCTGTCAGATCCTGTCGGCCGGTCAGGATCGCGCCTTCCGTGTGTTCCACACGGCTCGGGAACAGCAGAGCAGAGAGCTTTCCCAAGGTCCAGTACTCAAGAAAGCTCGCAGTTTGAATGTGCGGTTGGAGGACCTGAAGCTGCCGCCCATTGTGCAGTTCGCGGCGATGGAGACGCGTGCTCGCGACTGGGCGAACGTGGTGACGTGCCACGAGAACGAGATCGCGGCGTATGTGTGGCGCTTTGAACACCGAGCTATTGGCAAGAAGGTGCTACGTCAGTTCGACCCGAGCAACCGCGTCCCATCTGGTAGCGTGGAGGACTTACGTCGTAAGAAGACACAAGCTACAAGTGTCGCTATCAGCTCCTGTGGCAACTACGCACTAGTGGGAGGTCTGGGTGGTTCAGTCTTCCGATACAACATGCAGTCTGGTGAGAAGCGTGGCTCGTACCCTGTAGCAGCGACACCGAAGGCGAAGATCATTCGCTCACTGGTACTGCCTGGCTCGGATCTGTCAGCTCTGCAGAACGATGAGGCTGATAAGACGGCTGCGGATGCTCACGATGGACCGGTCAGTGCAGTGGCTGTTGACGCGCTGAACGAGACGCTGGTGTCAGCGGGTATCGACGGCAAGCTCAAGTTCTGGGGCTTCAAGAAGCACGAGCTGCGCTTTGAGATGGACGTTGGCTCTCCGATCAGTCAGATGGAGCTGCATCGCGACAGTAATTTGCTCTGCGTGGCGTGCGATGACCAGGTGCTGCGTCTGTATGACGTGACGACCCACAAACTTGTACGTCGCTTTGCCGGCCACTTGCACCGTGTCACGGACATGACGTTCAGCTCGGATGCGCGGTGGCTCTTCTCGTCTTCAGCTGATGCCTCGTTGCGTGTGTGGGACATCCCGACGGGCAAGTGCGTGGACTGGATGCGTTTCCAGAAGCCTGTGACGGGTCTGGCTGTGTCCCCGACGGGCGAGTTCCTCGCTACTACACACGTGAGCCACGTCGGTATCTTCTTGTGGGCGAACCGAAGCTTCTTCACCGAGGTCTTCCTGGACTCGGAGCCTACGGAACCCATCCTCATGGACATGCCTGTGTCTCTCAACGAAGTGGATAACAGCGACCAGCTCGGATTTGGCACCGAACGTAACCCACAACTGTCCGTGTCAAGTGTTATTGAGCAGCCTAAGAGTGTCAAGGTGGAGGAAAGTGAGGAGAGCTCGGACCCACTGGACGCGTCGCTGATTACTCTGTCGACGGCCCCACGTGCGTTCTGGCAGTCTTTGTTCAATTTGGAGCTGATCAAAAAGCGTAACAAGCCTATTGAGCCTCCGAAGGCCCCCGAACAAGCCCCGTTCTTCCTCCAGACAGTACGTAAAGACGATGTCCACCCGACTTTCGTTCCAGTGGCATCCGAAGCGAAGAAAGAAACTGAGAAGAAGGACGAGGAGGACGTTGCGATGGACGGCTGGGGTGCTGGTGATGATGATGAGGCCTGGGGTGACGATGACGGTGAAGAGCCGGAAGATGAAGTGGCTGCTCCTAGCTCCCGTATCGTCAAGACGGAGGGCATGGTGACTACCCGCTGTAAGCTAGCAACGCTGTTGGCTAAGGCTGTACAGGAGGAGGAAGACGAGGACCACACAGTCTCGCGCTTCAATGAGGTGGCCAAGTACATGCAGTCGCTGTCTGCGTCGGCTGTGGACGTCGAGATGAGCACTCTGTGCATGGGAGACTTTGACGAGGAGGGGAAGAAGCTGCTCGGTTGGTTCCTGGATTTCCTACGTGAGGAGATGCAGACACGTCGTAACTTTCAGGTGCTCCAGGCATACCTGAACCGGTTTCTGAAGCTGCACGAAGAGCTGTTGGTCGCGGACTCGACATTGCTGGCGCGGGTGGACGAACTGGGAGCCGTGCAGCAGCAGCAGTGGCAACACTTGCAGAAGTTGCTGCACAACAATTTGTGTCTGGTGCAGTATCTCAGTAAGATCCAGATGTAGGTTCGCAGTTGCTAGTTTTACACATATACCCACAAGACGAAGCGTCAATAAACGACACCAATGCACTTTTGATTAGACTAGAGATTGGTTGGGCGTGGAAAGGAGTTACTACTGCGGATGTACTCGCTGAAATAACAGACTACGTACTATTATCGAGTAAACCAGGTTTGTCTTACTGGTCGTTCTGCGGGAGAGTCTCGGTCAGTGTCTTCCTCACTACTTCGTTAGTTAAGAACTGACCGAAACTCTCCTGAGCCAATTCAAAAACTCGCAAACACCTCCAACGTGGCAGACTGTTAAGGTTCACTTCCAGCTGGACTCCGTATTGCATACAACGAGATCTAAATGCATGTAAAAGCAGTTGTATCCACAAGAATACCGTGCCTTATGGAAATGTTTGATGGTCTTTGCACGTTTGCTGAGGACTGCCTTACATCTGCATTGCGCTTTTAGTTTTGCCATACACCCATGAAGAGAGCAGCATGCACTAACTGCCATTCGTGCGCCCCAAACAGCCGCCTATGTTGACCAGACACTGATCCACTGCTATCGAAATGCTACTGCAGCAACAGCAGCTACATTTCATGGCCAGAAGCTTATTAGACTCGGCATACTTTTCTAGCCATACATTCCAGAAGAGTCATCTCCTACTATCTACGAAGTCTCCGGTTGAATATTTTTCATGTGTTGGTCAGCGAAAGGAAGCGATACTCTATCGCATCTTTTTGGTACCCATAGCTACTTCATGGCGTTGGAAGCTGGCGAGTACCATTGCTCCTCGTCACGTACCGTTTGAGGGCTTGGAGCTGCCGAGCTCCTCGCTGCTCACAACATTTTCTCACTCAGAAGCGGCATTCCTGTCGTCGACGGAGCGTGTCCTACTTCATGCCACTTTCGCTTAGCCTTCAAGGCATATTCTACCATCAATAGCAAATAGACGCTCATACCAACAAGCATCGTTAGTTATTCATGTCGTCTTTCTTGGCACGAAAACTAGCTCTAACGTTACACATGCAATGCATTGAAAAACATCAGACTACCGATGGCAACCTAATCCGCAGTTTTTTTCCTTACGAATTTGGCGAACCCACCGCCTGGCCGCCCGTGGCACAGCAAATTTTTGCATCGGTCTCTGGCCGAGTTGAAGTCGCATAGGCTGCACATCACGGATGGACACAGGCTCAGTCAGCATGACGTAATTTTCATAAACTTCGACTTGCTCACCAGATGGTCTCCGCTATCGTGAAATTCACGTTAGATTTTGCGGATACGCTTGGTACGTCACGCGTGTAGCCTCATGTCATCTTTTTTCATTCGTCCACCTTGAGCCAGCAAGTCCCCTCGGCGAGGGGCTCATCACCACGATGCAAAGCCTGAGATCGCAACGGGTAGAGCACAACCGGGCACATGATCAGCACTGTCAGCTCCCAAAAGGGGAAGAATTTTCTCTAGTGACCCACAACTGGCGGGCAAAGTGAGTACAGGGCAGCGCGTCGAGGATATATCACATACTGTACGCAGTATCGGTTTAATGACCGGCTTTGCGATTGCGTAGTCCCAAGATACGTCGATACTGCGTAGATTCGCACGAGCACTCATAAAGCCACGCCACCACATCAAACCGGCGACGAGCTCCCAGAGCACAGATGATACTACAAGTTGCACGACAGTACGCCGAGGACGTACACGGTTTTGCTTAACTAGCCAACGGAAAGGTGGCACCTGCTCCAGTGGTCCATGGCTCCATCGCTCTAGTCCTCCTGTGACCCACATCGTCAGTGCTCCAGTGATCCAGTGTGTCCAGCGCTTCAGTGACCCTCTGGTCGAGTGATCCAGTGTGTCCAGCGCTTCAGTGACCCACTGGTCGAGTGCTCGAGTGCCCCAGTTCTCCAGTGCTCCAGTGTTACATCGCTGTAGAGGATGCATTTTGTTGATACTGCACATATCTGCGGGTGGATGCCTCAGTCTCGTTGATGAATCAGCTCGGGTGGGGCTATACAGCACGCCGTCGCTCACGGTCAGCGGCTGTGACCCATGCCTACCTTCATGGTTGGTAGAGTTGGTAGTCGGTGGCCTTTTAAGAAATTGCGAGGAGCAACACTTCTGGAGGTTGGACAGTCATGGCCGTGTCACTGAGGCTTGTATGTACATGTAATGGCTTGGCCATGTAGTGACTGGCGCAGTAGTAATCGATTGTTGTAAGTAGCTTGGGCTGTGGGCGGTGACTGTGGATGCCAGATACTTGATGCATATCGGGTACGAGTACTTGATGGATCTGGCTAGCTCCTGTGCAATTGGTCAGATTTGCTCGGACAGATTAACTAGAAGCAACAGGAGCGCACCTCCCAGACATTATCGCGTTCGAGGCCGGCTGCTAAGCGTGACATAAGCCTTGACGAGTTGAGTTGCTCGGCGGTGTTTCGAGCGTCCTGTCTTTGCTGTTAGTGATTTTAGGTTTCCGTGAGTTGCGCTCGCATCATTTCCGGCTGGATTCCAGCTTGGAAGTTCTGTACGAAAACGAGTGTTAGTTAGTAGCTAAGCTGTTAGGAGGGTAGATTGAACCGGGGCTTGTAGAGGTAGTGGCTCACGCTAAGCTGTCCGTGTGTGTCACACACGCGCATTACGCAGCAGGTCTACGCGTCCACACTTGCTTGCCTTCTTTCGAAATCGACTTGTGCTCTATCCACAGAAAAGCGAGAGTGGGGTGTTTGGACAAAACCGACGTGGTCAATGACCACGGCTGGCCTGGCCCCCCATTCCGCAGTCTACAGCTTGATCCTTAATACACGAAAGCATTGACAGATTAGTCAGCGTTAGTTTTGGCGAAACTAGCAGCATACATTTCGCAATACTAACAAAATTTACCAACATTCGCTGCGAGCAACTCATTATACCAGTATTAATTTGCTAACATTTGGCCAATACAACTCGCTAGTGTCTTACATTTGTACGTACGTTTTGCTAGCATACGGCTGCATATCGCTGGTAAAGCGCACCGCTTGGTATGTGCGTAGGGGGGGGAGAGAAGCGGTGGTGGCTTTCAACTGCTATCTTGGATAGGGGATAAGACCGCAAAAGCAGTTCTTAACGTTTTCCATCATTTATCAGTTATATGTCGAAGCCACAGCAAAGAAGTCCAATGGAATCCTGTATGATAGGCTATCATACCGGTAGTAGTACTAGTACATGTAATTCAAACAGTATCTTAGGTTTCCTAAATGTGTGTGTAGCAGCGACATCGCTCGCTATCGGCATCCGTGATGCGGACTTAGATGTGTTCAGAGTCCGTCCGCATCGCGTGCGTCCTCTTGTTTGTGGCTGCATCCAGGACTAGCAGCTGCCAAAAAGTGCAAGTTCGCGAGACCTTCTCCGTGGGGATCCATTATTCAACTTGCGCTCTTCAGCTTCAGGTTAAGTCCTCCAAGTAACTGGGCTACAGTGTCCGAGCAGATCACCCATGCTTCCTACGTCTCTGCGCTCGTTATTACAGTCGGTGTAAGCTATTCACCTCGGAACCTTGACACCATGGATGACTCGTAGACACGCTAAGCTTGCTTCACACCGACCGTGATGCTGCACCCGGACACGTATCTGAACAAGATTCTGGTGGGGTCGGAGCAAGGAGCACTGCAGTTGTGGAATATCCGCAAGATAAAGTGCATTTACGAGTTCAAAGGATGGGGGAGCGCTGTCAACGCAATGGAACAGAGTCCCGCAGTGGACGTCGTGAGTATCGGACTGGCCGATGGAAGACTCATGGTGCACCACTTGCAGCTAGACCAACAGGTGCTGGACTTTAAGCAGGACCAAAAGAGCGGGATCACAGCCATGTCGTTCCGTACGGATGCAGGCGCTTCGACGACTCCCTTGGTGGTGTCGGGGTCGCGATCCGGTGACATTGCAGTGTGGAACCTGCAGACTAAACGTCTCGAGTCGGTGATCCCAGGTGCACACGATGGTGCGGTAGTCTCGCTGCAGTTCTTGGCGAACGAGCCGTTGTTGCTGTCTTCGGGTACAGATAACTCCATCAAGATGTGGATTTTCGACCACCTGAACGGCGGCACGGCTCGCCTGCTCAAGTCTCGTGAGGGTCACCGAGCCCCGCCGACGCGTATTCGTTACTATGGCAATAATACTCTCGCTACGATGGCGGACGGTGCGGACGGCACGTGCTGTCAGATCCTGTCGGCCGGTCAGGATCGCGCCTTCCGTGTGTTCCACACGGCTCGGGAACAGCAGAGCAGAGAGCTTTCCCAAGGTCCAGTACTCAAGAAAGCTCGCAGTTTGAATGTGCGGTTGGAGGACCTGAAGCTGCCGCCCATTGTGCAGTTCGCGGCGATGGAGACGCGTGCTCGCGACTGGGCGAACGTGGTGACGTGCCACGAGAACGAGATCGCGGCGTATGTGTGGCGCTTTGAACACCGAGCTATTGGCAAGAAGGTGCTACGTCAGTTCGACCCGAGCAACCGCGTCCCATCTGGTAGCGTGGAGGACTTACGTCGTAAGAAGACACAAGCTACAAGTGTCGCTATCAGCTCCTGTGGCAACTACGCACTAGTGGGAGGTCTGGGTGGTTCAGTCTTCCGATACAACATGCAGTCTGGTGAGAAGCGTGGCTCGTACCCTGTAGCAGCGACACCGAAGGCGAAGATCATTCGCTCACTGATACTGCCTGGCTCGGATCTGTCAGCTCTGCAGAACGATGAGGCTGATAAGACTGCTGCGGATGCTCACGATGGACCGGTCAGTGCGGTGGCTGTTGACGCGCTGAACGAGACGCTGGTGTCAGCGGGTATCGACGGCAAGCTCAAGTTCTGGGGCTTCAAGAAGCACGAGCTGCGCTTTGAGATGGACGTTGGCTCTCCGATCAGTCAGATGGAGCTGCATCGCGACAGTAATTTGCTCTGCGTGGCGTGCGATGACCAGGTGCTGCGTCTGTATGACGTGACGACCCACAAACTTGTACGTCGCTTTGCCGGCCACTCGCACCGTGTCACGGACATGACGTTCAGCTCGGATGCGCGGTGGCTCTTCTCGTCTTCAGCTGATGCCTCGTTGCGTGTGTGGGACATCCCGACGGGCAAGTGCGTGGACTGGATGCGTTTCCAGAAGCCTGTGACGGGTCTGGCTGTGTCCCCGACGGGCGAGTTCCTCGCTACTACACACGTGAGCCACGTCGGTATCTTCTTGTGGGCGAACCGAAGCTTCTTCACCGAGGTCTTCCTGGACTCGGAGCCTACGGAACCCATCCTCATGGACATGCCTGTGTCTCTCAACGAAGTGGATAACAGCGACCAGCTCGGATTTGGCACCGAACGTAACCCACAACTGTCCGTGTCAAGTGTTATTGAGCAGCCTAAGAGTGTCAAGGTGGAGGAAAGTGAGGAGAGCTCGGACCCACTGGACGCGTCGTTGATTACTCTGTCGACGGCCCCACGTGCGTTCTGGCAGTCTTTGTTCAATTTGGAGCTGATCAAAAAGCGTAACAAGCCTATTGAGCCTCCGAAGGCCCCCGAACAAGCCCCGTTCTTCCTCCAGACAGTACGTAAAGACGATGTCCACCCGACTTTCGTTCCAGTGGCATCCGAAGCGAAGAAAGAAACTGAGAAGAAGGACGAGGAGGACGTTGCGATGGACGGCTGGGGTGCTGGTGATGATGATGAGGCCTGGGGTGACGATGACGGTGAAGAGCCGGAAGATGAAGTGGCTGCTCCTAGCTCCCGTATCGTCAAGACGGAGGGCATGGTGACTACCCGCTGTAAGCTAGCAACGCTGTTGGCTAAGGCTGTACAGGAGGAGGAAGACGAGGACCACACAGTCTCGCGCTTCAATGAGGTGGCCAAGTACATGCAGTCGCTGTCTGCGTCGGCTGTGGACGTCGAGATGAGCACTCTGTGCATGGGAGACTTTGACGAGGAGGGGAAGAAGCTGCTCGGTTGGTTCCTGGATTTCTTACGTGAGGAGATGCAGACACGTCGTAACTTTCAGGTGCTCCAGGCATACCTGAACCGGTTTCTGAAGCTGCACGAAGAGCTGTTGGTCGCGGACTCGACATTGCTGGCGCGGGTGGACGAACTGGGAGCCGTGCAGCAGCAGCAGTGGCAACACTTGCAGAAGTTGCTGCACAACAATTTGTGTCTGGTGCAGTATCTCAGTAAGATCCAGATGTAGGTTCGCAGTTGCTAGTTTTACACATATACCCACAAGACGAAGCGTCAATAAACGACACCAATGCACTTTTGATTAGACTAGAGATTGGTTGGGCGTGGAAAGGAGTTACTACTGCGGATGTACTCGCTGAAATAACAGACTACGTACTATTATCGAGTAAACCAGGTTTGTCTTACTGGTCGTTCTGCGGGAGAGTCTCGGTCAGTGTCTTCCTCACTACTTCGTTAGTTAAGAACTGACCGAAACTCTCCTGAGCCAATTCAAAAACTCGCAAACACCTCCAACGTGGCAGACTGTTAAGGTTCACTTCCAGCTGGACTCC